TTGCTGGGTTTGTCCCTATTTTACCCAGCACTGGGGTTGTATTTAACCCAGCATTTTTTAGAGTGTGTATACAAAAATGTGCAGCATACAATTTTTTTTAATTCTCTTCGATCATGTTAGTACTTGTGCATTTTTGCTTGGAATATTAAATGCATTTGTTTATTTGTTTGTTTGTAGGGATGATGATGAGGAAGATGGAGAAAAATCTGCTGCTCGTCAGAATAACACCTCAATGCTGTCGTATTTCAGTCACAGCAAGCCGTCTGAGCTCACACACACACGAGACACACACCGCTTTTTCACTGAGCGCAAGCTACAACGCATCAACACACTCTGAACACAAACACTGTCGATGAATGAGAGCGGCGGTCAGCATATCACAAAATACATGTCAGCTGGATATGTCTAACATATGAACTGGATATGTTCATTATCGCAAATAATGAACTGTGCATGAGCCAGCTGAGTGTATTATATTCTCTTGTGTGTTTTGTTCATTTCTGGATGTAAAACAAATAAAATATTTTCATATCTTTTTGAACGTGTCTTAGATTTTAAATAAGGTGGTACAAAATCAGACCAGAATATTAGTGATTCTTAATTATAATTCTCAACCATAATCTATATATGTCAGTCTAACTGAAAACTGCCTAGCAACCACTCTTATATTTATCTTAAAGTATTTGTAGGGTTGCTTGTTTTTAAGCATTTCAAACCTGCAGTCCAGACTATCAAACCTGTGTGATGAGGCTAAGTTTTTATAAAACCTCCGCTCTTGTGTTTTAGACGCAATGTTTATATCCCTCCGCGACAGCAGGTGGCGTAACAAGCGGCAACTGTTTCACAACGATAAACGAAAAGAAGAAGCGCAGCGGCAGTTTCCGCTTGAGCTCAGCAGTGTGGTGAGTGTAATAAATAAAAATTTATTCCGTTTTATTGTTATATTAATGTTTAATAAATTATTTTACCTTTATAATTTAGCAAAGCAGCACTCTGCGATATTAAAGCTAGTTTGTACTAGTAGAAATACTAAATAGAAGACACTAACCCCCGGTTTCACAGACGAGGCTTAAGCCTAGTCCCAGACTAAAGTGTAAATCTGAGCTGCTTTAACTGAAAGAAACTTGCACTGACTGATCTTAAAATTTATCAGTGCTTCTGTTTTGTCTCAAAATGCACACCAGTAATGTTTTTTCTAAGGCACGTTAATAAAAATTACTTAAATGTCCTAATTGAACTGTTGCCTAGTCCTGGTTTAGTCTAAGCCCTGTCTGTGAAACCAGGCCTAAGTGTGTTTTGTCATTGTGTAGTTTGTACTAGTAGAAATACTAAATAGAAGACTAACCCCCGGTTTCACAGACGAGGTTTAAGCCTAGTCCCAGACTAAAGTGTAAATCTGAGCTGCTTTAACTGAAAGAAACTTGCACTGACTGATCTTAAAATTTATCAGTGCTTCTGTTTTGTCTCAAAATGCACACCAGTAATGTTTTTTCTAAGGCACGTTAATAAAAATTACTTAAATGTCCTAATTGAACTGTTGCCTAGTCCTGGTTTAGTCTAAGCCCTGTCTGTGAAACCAGGCCTAAGTGTGTTTTGTCATTGTGTAACGTTAGTTGCTGACATTTACTGCTTACTGTGCCTTTTCTCTTTATTTCAGTGTGGTTTGACCTGAAATTATTAATCATGGACATACGACCGAATCACACCATCTATATCAACAATGTTAATGATAAGATCAAGAAAGAAGGTAAAGTCTGTAGTTTATAGTGGAGATGAGCGAAACAGCATTGACTATGTTTGAGCACAGAATCTGCATTTCTGTAAAGCTTGTTTTTTTCCCTCTGGATCTTTTCTACAGAGTTGAAGAGATCACTGTACGCCTTATTCTCCCAGTTCGGCCAGGTTATGGACATTGTTGCAATGAAGACCATGAAGATGAGGGGTCAGGCGTTTGTTATCTTCAAAGAGCTTTCTGCAGCCACCAATGCCCTCAGACAGCTTCAGGGATTCCCTTTCTACAATAAACCCATGGTCAGTGCCTCAGGAACTACACAGCAGTCGCTTGACATTTACGTAACTGATGCGATTAGCATTTCAGAAAATAATGAGCAGAATATGGTCCTTTGATCCACATTAACCTTCAACTAGAAATAGATCACTCAAGGAGAATTTCATCTATAATGTGAAAAATGTCATTTACTCGGCTATACAGTGGGTACGGAAAGTATTCAGACCCCCTTAAATTTTTCACTCTTTGTTATATTGCAGCCATTTGCTAAAATCATTTAAGTTAATTTTTTTTCCTCATTAA